ATCTGAAAGCTATGAAGAATGGAAAGGCAACAGGGCCTTCTGGACTCACAAATGACATTATCAAAGCATCTGGTAGTGCAAGTATCCAAACGTTACAACTTTGCCGTGAAATCTGGAGAAATTGCTCAATGCCGACTGAATAGAACTATAGAATGACGGTCACGCTATACAAAGTCAAAGGTGATCCATTGAACTGTTCATCATATCGGGGTATACGTCTGTTAGAACACTCCCTGAAAATTGTCGAAAAAATCATTGAGAGAAGATTAACGTCGTGCATCACAATCGGAAATTATCAATTTGGTTTCCGAGCGGGGAAATCAACAATTGATGCAATTTACATCCTTTGGCAACTGCAAGAGAAGTACTTCGCAAAGCATCAACTACTATCACACGTTTTTGTAGACCTTGAAAAAGCATTTGATCGAGTGCCCCGTAAAGCAATCAGGTGGAGTCTACGTCGACAACTCATTCCAGAATATCTTGTGAAATCTGGAGAAACTGCTCAATGCCGACTGAATAGAACTATAGAATGACGGTCACGCTATACAAAGTCAAAGGTGATTCATTGAACTGTTCATCATATCGGGGTATACGTCTGTTAGAACACTCCCTGAAAATTGTCGAAAAAATCATTGAGAGAAGATTAACGTCGTGCATCACAATCGGAAATTATCAATTTGGTTTCCGAGCGGGGAAATCAACAATTGATGCAATTTACATCCTTTGGCAACTGCAAGAGAAGTACTTCGCAAAGCATCAACTACTATCACACGTTTTTGTAGACCTTGAAAAAGCATTTGATCGGGTGCCCCGTAAAGCAATCAGGTGGAGTCTACGTTGACAACTCATTCCAGAATATCTTGTTCGACTTGTGATGGAAACACGGTTGCACAACGGTTTGAAACACAGATGCATTTGACATCGGCGTTGGAGTTCACCTAGGCTCGATTCTCAGTCCACTGTTATTTATAACTGTAATGGAAGAAATCACAAAACCAATACGCACTGGTGACATTTGGAATCTAATATATGTTGATGATATCGTTTTAACAGTCACGTCTGAGCAGAATGCAGCACAGATGTTTGAAGATTGGAACATCAGACTTGCCGATCATGGATTAAAAGTCAACACCAGCAAAACCAAAGCAACCCATCCAATCCACAGCTACTGGACGATGGCCCTATTCAGTTTGTAAAACTGATGTAGGTAACAATTCAATCAAGTATCAGCAGTGTAACCAGTGGTGTCACAAACGTTTTTAAAAAATAATTGGTAATTTATCTAAAGTGTCCAATCTTGTTTGTCCTGCTTGCATCAATTTGCATCACAAACGTTTTTAAAAAATAATTGGTAATTTATCTAAAGTGTCCAATCTTGTTTGTCCTGCTTGCATCAATCCACAACAACAAATTCGAAATAGCACTGTTTTTGAAGCCATTAAGGTAGAGAAAGTCACATCGTTTCAATATCTAGGGGATGTTCTGGATTGTACTGGAACAACTGAAGCTGCCGTTCGAGCACGCATACGCGCAGCATGGAATAAATAGCATCTCCTTATTGATGCGGCGTGACATCCCACTACCACTACGATCAAGACTTTATAAATCAGTGATACGTCCGGTGTTGTTATATGGTGCAGAAACATGGCCAATGACAACCAAACTTCACCGAACCGATATGAAAATGCTCCGATGGATGCAACGAATTAGTCTGAAAGACCACATCAAATTTACCAAAATCCTGCGTCGTGCTGGTTTAGATGATATAAAGGACGAATGCCGGCAACACCGTCTGAAGTGCTTTGATCATGTCAAACGAAGTGGAAAAAGTGCCATAACTTCTCTTGGAGATGTTGAAGTACCTGGCACACGTCCCAAAGGCTGTCCAAAGAAGTCCTGGTCGCAAACAATCAGGCAAGACATGAAAGCTCTGAATTTAAATGAAATGGATACAACTAATCGTCTAATTTGGCGCAAAAAGTTGATGGCAAAGAAAATAACGTCCTACTTCGGGAAACTGGGTCTCTGGACGCTAAACGAAGATTGATTAATAAAATTAGAAATATTTTTTAATCCAAACTAGTATTAAACATTTTACTAGTAAATTATTTGTTAATATAAAGTTGTTGAAAATTTAAAAAATATTTAAATTAATGAAATATTTTTAAGAAATTTTGTTAAATAATTTTCTTTAATAATTTTTTTATATAATTTTATGGCATTGGGTTTGAATAAAATTTTATGACGCATAAAGGGGAAAGATGCTGAAATAGCGACAAATTTTGACATATGTTAGAGATCTGTTAGAAAACTGAATTTATGAAATTCATAATGAGAGCTGTCCAAAGCAGATTTGAAACCAGTGAAAAATGTGGAATCCAGTAGCGTCGCAAGGCGGTTGCAAGAGCTGACAATCTCAGAGGGCCTTGCTAAATGAAAAAAGACAGAGCAGACGCCGCTTGGTCCAATCGTATTTCATAAGCGGATAACCGATAGATAAGGAAAAGGAGCTCGGAGTAAGGGACTTAGGGCGTCATTATAATCTATTCAGTCTGCAAAGCTTTTGAACTCATTTTAATGAAACTCAAAGCTGGTCAAACGCGATAATAAATGAAGTAGAATAGATTAACTGACTTGGAAGCTTTTTCGCAGACCGAGAGCTTCTTGCGAAAAATGTTTCGTCTTTTGGTTTGACGCATTATATGACGTCAAAGCTTCGATGATGTGCAGACTAAACTAAGCGTTAGCCATATATACAGAATACATACACAGTAAATTCCTTGTTATATTACAAATACATGATTACAAGCCGATTGGTAAAGGAATTGAATCAACTACTTGATGCAGTGCTGCACCTATAGCGTAAGCAGAACTGTCAGTAACTAAGTGGTATTTTGTACATTTTGAATCAGGATATGGATGTGTTGTTACGTTGGCAAGTTTAAATTTGATGGTTTTTAAAGTTTTCAATTCGTTATTAAACACTATTGTTTTTGAGTTTGGATGTAACTATATTAGTTCTGTTAACGGAAATACAATATCTGCGAATTGTGGAATGAGTTTGCGGTAGAATCCAATCATTCTTAAAAATCTACATAAAGATTTAGTATCATTTAGAACTGGAAATTCTTCAATTTTGCTTATTTTTTCTTTTGTAGAAAATAGTCCTTCATCGTTGATGTTGAATCCTAGGTATTAATAATTTAGATTTTCTTTGAAAAATTGGCACTTGTCTATGGAGATTCTCAAATTATTTTCGCAAAGGATTTGAAATACCGTTTCTAAATCTTTTTCATATTGTTCAGTGCTTTCTGAAAATATGAGAATGTCGTCTTCTCATATTTGCATCGTCTTCTTGTCTAGAAACAAAAACACAGTCGATACCTAGGAAGATATTATCCATGAATCTTTGGAATATACATTCTGCATTTCGCAAACCAAAAGGCATAAACATGTACTCAAATAGTCCAAAAGGTGTTATTACGGCTATTTTTTCAATATCGTTTTCATGTACTGGTATCTGGTGATAGGCTGTTAATAAGTCCAATTTTGAAAATATCTTTATGCTATGTAGTTTAGTTGAGATGCTGTGAACTTTTGGAATTGGATATCTGTCTGGTTTCGTAATGGCATTTACATAACGATAATCTCCGCAAGCTCTCCATTGTCCTTTTGGAACCAAATTTTATTGATGTGAATTTGTTGAACGGAACTCTGCAATACGTTTGTTGTAATCGTTTTTTTTGTTATTGTGTCAATCAGTTTGTTGTTGGTGCAATCGACAAGGATTTCATAATGACTTAAAAAATCTTTGCTTAACAAAGGTTTGACAATATCTGCAATTACAACATTCCATTTGTATGTTCTGTGCAATGGTAGGATGTGGATTTCAACAATGGTTCTCTATGACAGGTAATGTTTTGACCACTCGCAGTTTTGTTGTTTGGCCATATGCACCATGGTTCGCACGTTTTCGATTTATCGCCAAATAGTGACATCGGCAGATTTGAGTGCGTTGGTCTTTATAAAATGGGCGAACGTTGTTTGGGATGTTCGTATCAGGGATGCTGTTTGTTGAACTCGTTCTGTTGAAAAGTGTTTTGTTGTTGTTCGTGGTTTCTCTGTTCATAGTGTAAATTTCGATTTTAGCAAATGGGGTTAATTCATCTGCTAAATTTCCCAGTCGCTGTAGATCGAAATCTTTTTGAGCTGCGATGACTGGAGAAATTGTTGTTGGAAGAACTTTTATAAACATATGACGTACGAGTTCGCCTCCCACTCCAATTTTATTAGCTGTCGTTAATAATTCTTGTAACTAGTGTGATTGTCTGCCGGTCAATTTAGCACAAGCGAGCAAACAATTCTGGTTTTGTTTTTTCGTAAATCGATATCACCGCTGTTTTGAGGTCGTCATAATTTCTATCATAAAACAAGTGTTGTGGTAATTTTGCAACCAAATCTACCGGTAGCGATGATAGGATATGAGAATTATAAAGCTGAAGAAATATTAAATACAACGGGTAACAACGCAGAGAAAGCAACAATAAAAAAGAAAAACAAACAAACCTGAAATATTGAAATGTTTCTGTGTAAATACAAAAAGTATTGTAAATATTGATAAAAGAACAGAACTGGAGTTATATATAGAGAATGAACAACCCGATGTCATAGGTATAACTGAATCATGGGCAAAAGAATCGATTCAAGATAGTGAGATAAAACTGAACGGATACGTAATGTTTAGAAAAGACAGAGAACACAGTAAAGATAAGAGATAGGGCGGCGGTGTGTTATTGTACATAAACGAAAAACTGACTGCACTAGAAAGAAAAGACCTGAAAAACGACAAATTTAAAGAAACTGTTTGGTGTGATATAAAGAACGAAACTGAAACACTGTGTGTAGGAGTATGCTACAGAGTACCAGATTCAACAAAAGAGAATGACAGCGGATTACGTGAACTGATCAGAAATGCCACAAAAGTGCCTTGCGTAATAATGGGAGATTTTAACCCCCATATTGACTGGAATCATAGAGAAAGCAAAAAGCTGGCGGACGAACTGTTTCTGGATGGATTGCATAAACGAAAACTTCCTTACTCAGCATGTGATGAAGCCAACAAGGGGAGAAAATATATTAGATTTAATAATATCAACAGACGAGAACATAATAAAAGAAGTTAGGGTAGGAGAAGAATATGGAACGAGCGATCATAGGATACTTAGATTCAACAGTTTTAGAGCAGTAAAAAGAAGTCGAGGCATATTCAAAGCGCTACAATTATTTCAAAGCAAACTACGACAAGGTCAGAAATAAAATCATAGAGATGAATTGGCAGAGCGATTGAAAGATTTGGGAGTGCAAAATAAATGGAAAACCTTTGTGTCCTGTATGAATAAAATTGTTGAAGAGACTATACCGACTATCCGGAGAAGCAGCAAAAAACTACCGTAGATAAATAAAAATGTACAGAAAATCAAAATTTAAAGCATGGAAGAAGATGCAGGAGTTAAGACAGAGATATCTCAGAAATGCTAAAGATATTTCAAAAAAAGATATTTAGAAGCAGCAAGGAAAAATATATTAGAAAGAGAAATCTAGCAAAGGCAACAAACAGGAAAGCAATAAAAGAATATGAAGAAAAACTAAGTGAGAACATAAAAAAAGACAGTAAAATCTTTTTCAGTTACATGGGAAGCAAACAAAAAAGGAAAGATAAAGTGGGGCCTCTGAAGACTGACCAAGGCAAGATTGTAACGGAAGAAGAATGCTGAGATGCTCAATAACTACTTTGGATCGGTGCTGGCAAAAGAAAATACAAATAACATAACGGAGCCAAAAAATTGTTTGGGGAAAGCTAAAAAAGGATGCTTACAAGTGTTTACATAACAGAAGAGATGGTTGTCGAAATACTAGGCAGTCTCGAAGAGAATAAAACTCCAGAAATAAATGAGCTGCGATGTTGATTCCGCCATGTTAAAAATTGAAAATTTATTACGGAGAAGTCTTTGATTCACGTCAGAAGAATCACGTCGGGGTCACCAATTTGTTAATACGAGCGTTATGCTACTAACAAGACACCTTGTTGTGAAGTAAAATAAACAAAACAAACATAATTCAGGCGTAAAAAAAGTTAACTTTGTTCTAACGTGAATCTCGAACCGTCTCGTTTATAAGCTCTCAGAAAAAAAAAAGATCGAGAAAGAAGCAAAGAAATAAAAATTAACATAGATTAGGTAACATTGAAAATTGCAATAATCTTTAATAATGATTAATATATAAGATAGTTAATAAATAAATGTTTGATCCCTGCACTGTCATGCGATTAACTACATGGAATGTCAGAACAATATGCTCTGGGTTTGCGGGTAATCTTCGACTGATTGATGACTCAAGTAAAACAGCAGTAATAAATCATGAGCTAAAAAGGTTTAATATTGATATTGCTGCTTTACAGGAAACAAGATTGACAAAAGATTGCTTGTAAAATAGAGCTGAGACCTCAAAAATTTTATGCCTCCAGAAAAAAAACTGCGTTTGAATACCCCACGTATGTATAATCATGTACTGCGCATGGCTCTCGAACACAAATTAAATGAGGCTCTCAAAAGCCACAGTTTTACTGATGTTAAGGAAAGTTGGCAATTTATGCGTGATCTTATCTATCAAGTATCATTGTCGGTTCTGGGGGAAAAAGCTATGAAAAATGAGAATTGGTGCAAAGCAAACTTGTCAGAAATTGAAATTGCAAAAAAAAAAGAGAAGCTTTGATAGCTTAAAAGAAGAACCCACACAAAACAACTTACAGGCATTTAGAGATGCAAGAAATAAAACACAAAACTTGCTAGACATTGTGCGAATAGATATTGGCTAGATCTCCGTAAAAATATTCAAACTTTTGCTAATTCTGGTACTGCAAAGGGGTGGAGACGGCATTTTTGTAGAAACTATTAAAACTGAGAAACATGCCTTTCTGAAGTCACTTCACATGTTGATATGCTTTTACTGGGAACGGGGTGCTATCCCACAAAATTTGAAACATGCAAATATAGTTCCAATCTACAAAAACAAAAGAGACCGTTCAGACTGTAACAAATGAATACTAAAGCATCTCCCTGCTAAGTGCCGTAAAAAAACCTCTGCTTGATTTCTTCTTAATAAATTACAAATTCTAGCAAATCGAGTATACTCGAAATGGCTTTAGAGTGGAAAGATCTACAGCTGATGTTTTTTTTGCGACAGCTGCAGGAAAAACGCAGAAAACAAAGGCAGCAAATTTTTGTTGCTTTCGTTGATCTGATTAAAGCTTTTGACTTAGTTAGTAGGTGGTTTATTTGCTGTATTAGAAAAAATTGATTGCCTTTCTAAACTGCTGGGAATGATAACTGCTTTTTATAGGCACACGCAGGGCGTTGTGCATTTTCATAGATCTGTTTCTGGATCGTTTTCCATAAGCAGTGGAGTGAAATAAGGATGTCTTTTGGCGCCAACACTCTTTAGTATCTTTTCTGCTGTCCTTACCACTTCTTTCGATGTCATGGAAGATGACGTATACATCTACAGTAGATTTGATAGTAAATTATTTACTCTGGCTCGATGTAAAAAAACAAATAAAAGACGCATTCTCGTTAAAGAGCTGTTGTTCGCAGATGCTGCTGCTCTGGTATCTCACTCGTCGGAGGGATTGCAAAACCTCATTGATGCTTTGACAATTGCATGTTGAAGATTTGGGCTTACCATAAGTCTTGCCAAAACCAAAATACTTGCTCAAGGCAAAAACGGATTAACGTGATCATACTATTAATGTGATAAATCATTTTACATATCTTGAATCAACAATTACAAGCAACTTAAACTTGTACATAGAGCTTTCAAGACGAATTGCAAAGGTCTTAGAAGTCATGGCAATTCGTGATGTCTAGTCATTTTGATACTTTTACTTATTACATGGTGAATAAAGGGTGACTGCAACTTTACCGCACTGAGTGACACCAACCCTAGCGACGCTATTGGTAAAATCAAATTGTAACTTGTTTTATAACGTAATAGAATTATGAAGAGAAAATACTGAAACACCTGCCATACAATAATTGAACATCACGACAATTAAACATGAAAAAAAAACGATTAAAATAAAGGCACTACATTAAAAAATTTCCATTTCATTTTTAGTTTTTTTATTTCATGTTAAATTGTAGCTTATTTTTATAAATTCAATAGAGTAAATATTTATGAAACACTTAGAATGTGGCGTGAACGCTAGACGGGGCAAAAAATGATGTCACATGATAAACTGGACGGATAATGAATCAATCGCGCAACATGCTTACTAGTGTGTACTAGGCTCCCCTTTCAGGCGTGAGACGCACCAAATAGACTTGAAAATAAAACATTCAAGAATGCTGATTTATTGGAAGCTTGTGACAGCTTCTTCATTATGATCCACGGAATGAAAAAAGAGCATGAAAAAGTTCAACTAGATACAATAAACTTTTTTAAATGGCACTAAGCTCATTTTGGCGGTTCCCGTTTTGTCGCAAGATTTTTCTACCAGGTGAGCACAGCATAATTATTTTAAACTTTCTTAAAAACCAGAGCATTTAGATGAAAAGTATGAAAGATTTTTTAATTTTTATGCTATCTTTGAAGTATCAAAAACTACGTAAATACTATTGATGTAAATATTGATCTTCAACTTTAACAAAAAATTTATGCATTTTGGTTTAATTACTAAAAGCAGAGCTCTTCCAAATTATGTGAAAATGCATTTTCAAATATATCCCGCAAGATACAAATTAATAAATTGTAAACACTATAAAATGCCAAAACATTTTCGATATTAATGGCACATTTATTTTGTGGAACGTTTTATTGCCAATGAACTACTCCAGAGAATAAGAATTAAGGATCAGTTAAGCTTTAAAATTACACTGTTGCTATTTTTAAATTTTAAATATTATCATACCACTTTCAAAACTGGCATCAAAAATTAAAAATCCTCTTTTGCACGGTCCCAAATAACCACTAGGAAAAAGTGTAAATTTTGATACATTTTCAGAAAAAAAATCTTCACAGATTTCTGAATCACTCTCTGAAAAATTTTCAATATGAATATTTGACAATTTTGTAAATAACAAGTACTAAAATATGCTATGTATTAATATTACGAGCTATGTAGGCAAAAGATGGTTTCATGACTTGCTTCATGTCGCTGTTCCGTTTTACTTTTTGCCTAACGTACTTTCCATTAAAGTCGTAATTTTCTCGATAAATTTCAAATCAGTTATTCCATTCTAATTTGAATTTTTTAAAACTTGTTTATAGAATATAAAGTTTTTGTTTCCCTTTTAAGCACATCAGTATTTATCATCGCAGTCATGATTAAAACTGTTGACTAATTATGATAATTTTGCTAGACATGAGGCCGTTTTAGATCATTTAAAATAAATGTTTTTTGATGCATTTAAAAATTTTCCAATGTTCTTCATAACTGTCCACGAGTGAAACTGCTTGCGCAGTACCATAATTAATTAGGCGCTAAACATTATTATTTATTTATTAAATTGTGTTCATCCTTAAACCAATGTTGACTTTTGTACAACAATTATTGTATAGGGCGTAAACTATTAAAAACCAATTTAAAAACGTTATAAATAAGGGGCCGTCCATAAAGGATGTCACGCTTCAAGGAGAGGAGGAGGCTCAAATATTTGTGACAATATGTGTGCAATAAAACGCAACTGTTAGGTCCCTTTTTTTTAAATAAACAAAAAAATAAATAAATTTTCATTCACATATATGAATATTACAGTTTTCAAGCGAGCAAATAGCTCATGAATATTAATTAAAGGAAAAGTCAAATTTAAATGCCATCGTTAAAGTTTACCGTTGTTTTTCTGCCACCTCCAGTTCCAATTAGTCAAAATAGTGAAGGCCTACAAATGCAGCAAATTGATGAAACTACTAGCAATTTTCCAAATCTATTTGTTAGTCTTATGTTAAAAAATAGTATAGCCATATATGTCGAATAACATATATAGAAAATTTCTTATTATCCTTACATATACCATGTAAAAGAAGACCGTTATAATTTTGTGATATATGACAATGTAGATTTTATCCAATCGCTAGGTCTTTAAAAATTTGTTTGAAGAATACGCTATTATTTTTTATTATAATGTATTATAAAATTCTTTTTGTGTTTTCAGACATTCTAATTAACGTTAATATAATTTCAGAATTAATATTCTATAAATATGTTATATTAATTTGTTGTAAAAAACACCACAGTTTATCATTTAGTACAACATAAAAATAGTTTAAGTTTAAACGCTTGTTAATCTATGCAATTCACAATTATAGTTCTGAATTATTACGGCCCCCTGTGTGCATGGTATTATCGGCTGATCAATGTTACAAATGGCTGATTTCTTATATATGTATATTCTATATATATGGATATAGCCCTTCCAAACAAATTATCCAAGTTTTCACAGCTCCCATGTGATGCCTTTTGCCCTTTTGTTCAAGTTTCTTTTAAAAACCGCATCTGCGAAACATGTGGGTTATATAATGCTTTAATTGTGATGGCAAAAAGGCATCATGTTATTCACGAAACATCATTATTTCAGCATAATAAAGTTAGACCAGTCAGAGTTGCTACTAGACGTCAGAGGGAACTTATGGCAGTAATTGCATTTGAAGAAAACGAAGATGTTGAATGGTTGAATGAAGATGACCAATATAGAGTTACCAAATATAGAAAAGAAGAAAGCCCATGTATTCCGTTAGTTTCAGTTTCACAGCACCTGGCCAGCCATTGGGACTAAAGCGATTCATGATTGTTCATATAAATTCGTTATATTTAAATTACGATAAAGCATTTAGCTATCAAACTATCGTTTGATAGTTCAAACATGTCATTCGTTATTTTGAGATCAATAAAAAAAATGCATAGAACAATTACTTTGTTCAATGACTTTTCACAAAGAGGGGGGGGGGTACAGTTTTGTGACATGCTTATTTTGGAGGGTTTTGACAGCTTGTGACACGAGGGAGGGGGGGGGTCAAAAAAAACGTTAAAAAAGAGTGACATCCTTTATGGACAGCCATTAATTTTAGTTTAATGTAGATTAAAAAGAATTAAACAATAACGTAGCAGCAATAATTTAAAATTTTAGTGAAATTCACACACTGAATTAATTAGGCGCTAATAATGAAAATTTCAATAATGATAATAAACCTTTTTTTTGATTAATATCAGGCTGTGCAAATAATTGAGGTTTTTATTTAAAACTAAACTCTTTACTCTCTGATATATGAGTTTTATCGCTATTAACAAGTTGGGTTAAATGCATCAAAATATCCAAACGACGATCGCCCATCCACATCATTGTTTTGCAATTTGACCACTCTATTATTTTTGCTGTTTATAAAAACACCAAGAGTTACAACATTAGCCACCATATTGTGTTGAAAGTTAAACGCCCGTTGTTCAATTGGCAACCAATGCAAACTATGACAACGAGAAACAATATCTACCAATACCAGTCACCAACCTCATACCAAAATTTCGAATCAACTGGAACCTGTGCCCAGCACCAAGCAACAAACCATTACAATAATCCAATTTTGACATAATGAACGCAACTACTATCGTGCAAAACACATTTCTTTACCTGTTTCAATCTTCTCATTTGATTAAAGCGCCTTTATTTGCTGCAAACACGTGGGGCATAAATGTTAAATCCTGATCAAAGATGGCTCCAAGATTTCTTACCGAATGAGCCGATACAAATTCGTTACCCATCACTGATATTAATATAGAACCTACGGATACCACGGTATAACAAGATCCGAACTAAGTTCTGATTTATCAGAATTAAACTTCAATTTGTTTGACAATAACCAAACATAATTTATTGCAATAAAGTTGCAATTCTTAACAATATCTTATCATCTCACTAACATTACCCAAAAATATATCAATTCATTAACAAATCTGACGCCGATTCCACAAAGCAAAATTTATAATCTTATACCAACAACTCCTAAAATTCTTCATATAACGTTGGATATTAAGCTACACATTTGTCTGAGCTAAGAAATGAATCTATTGCAATAAAAAAACAACCTGTTTCATCTTTGTTAAGTGACGTCATCATATCGGTATTTTTCAAAAAGTAAAGTACACGTTTGACTCAAATTTTTAAAATCTGAATTTCAAATCTGTTAAAAATGTGAAACACGTCGCATCTTCATATTGGTTTATTGATTCAGTTTAATTTTTAATATCTTCAATATCATTTTCCTCCACACACATACACTCACACACACACACCATTTCCTTCCACACACACACACACCATTTCCTTCCACACACACACACACCACATGCATAATATTCATATTTATTTATTTATTTGTACATCCATATATACGGTCGGCCAGTACGAGTGCATAATGGTTCACCGTCCCTCACCATGACAAAAGGTGCATTATTGTGGACGTCTACCTCGTTTCATGCTATACGCGTCAACTTAATGAATTTATTATTTCAGTAGTAAATATTGCAAATTAAGGTGTTTTTAGGTAATTCACACAACACATTTTAGTCGCTAGAGACGTACGGTTACTTGCAGAATAAAAGAACAATAAAAAAAATTGAGTAAAAAATATAGGTAAAAATAGTCGACTTGGTCAAACAGATACCTCATTCAACAGCTACCTACTAATGCTAACCTCTTCAGATGGGGTTAATCTATAAATGCATCATGTTTGCTTTGTAATGCAGTACAAACAAACAAACATGTCCTAAAAATTGTGGCTCAGCCTCTGCACTGAGTAGATATTTTAACCGCCACAACAAAATTTCTGCAATATTTATTGATAACATACAAGCAAATGCAAGGCCGGGTATTGAACTATTTGCAGACGTATGAAAAGATTTGGTGCGTCCAGTAACGGATCTGCTCAAATCACTCCGACCTGACATCGCCGTCTGTAACAAAGATACTATTGTAATACTCGCGCTGACCATTTGCCATGAAACAAAGTTAATGAAATCAAAACAATATAATCAATCAATAAATCAAAAATCAAAACAACATAAAATTAATAAATAATATAATATAAAAAATATTTGAAAATCAAAACAATATAACATGAATAAATACTTAAATAGTTTAAAAAATAACATTGTCGATGATTTTAAACATTTTAATATTTTAATTAAAATTTTAAAATATCGCCATTAGGTTTTTATAATCCTTTTAAGTTGTCTTTACAAGTTCACTTTATATATAACTTAATCAATAGTGTAATATCGTCATCATTTGCTTTTTATTGCGATAGAAGCAATGCGTGAACATACTGTTTTTTATTTTTATACAAGCTATCATCATGGTACTTATTTTAGGATAACGAGCCTTGATGATTATTCATATATTTTTTATCATTGTAATTTATACTTAGCTAATTTTAACATAATTAATAATTTTCAAGTTTTGTTGTGTTTCGCCAACGGAAGATAGAGAATGGCTAACGCTAACCCTAACCTAACGTGACCACACGGACAAGGAAGGTGACAGATAGAGCTTCAGAGTCAGACGATTTTGGGTTAAAATTCTGTGAAAAATGTCGCACAGAAAATAGTTCCTTTTTCGTCAACCTCGGCGATAGTATGAAAGATTCTCAAAAATTTCGGAATGAATTTGCTGAGGTTAATAGCAAGCTGAATGTGTTGGTTGAGGGACATGATGGAGGAGATTCAGATGAAAGAAGCCCAGATAAATGTTCAGCTTGAGGATTTAAAACGTTTGAGTAATGAGGTTGGAACTATTAAAAAATCTTCTTCAAGTGAATTTGCTAAGGTGGAGCATGTTAAAAAATGGTCTGATCTTTTTGCAAAAAAAGTTGATTTAATGGCAAATGACATTAAGTCAGTTGCCAGTTCAGTTGCTTCCACTGATTCAAAAATTAACATTTGTAATGAAAGGAATGCAAGAAAAAATAACATCATTGTCTTCAATCTTGTGAAAAACAATCATTTCTCGAAAGCAAAAGATAAGGAGATAATGTCTGGCCTTTTTAAGGCTTTGCTACCTGAAACTGATATTAGTAAGGAGATAGGAGATAGAGGGTAAATTAACTGGAGAAAAACAAAAACCTAGGCCACTCTTAATTAAGTTGAGCGGCTATTCTATTAAGAACCAAATATTGGAAAGTTGCTTCAAGTTAAAAGATAATACATCTTTCAAAAAAGTTATAATTTCCCATGACCTGATTAGAGAGGATAGAGAAAAATGCAAGAAATTAATATCTGAAAAAAAGAATAGTATATCTTCAACAGAAGACATCAACAAATTTGTTTTTTTATAAAGGGCCATCCAGGTGATTTTTATGCTGTGGCTCGTAGAAAGAAAAATTTTCAGTTAGGAACGCGTCAAGTAGTAACTCAACAGTAATCAATGATTTTATGATTTTGTATGCAAATGTGGATACTTTGAAAAACAAATTTGTGGAATTAAAGTTTTTATTAGATTCTTGCAGAAGTGCTCCCAAGTTAATTTTTTGAAATGAAGTTAATCCTAAATATTACAAGATCCCACCAAGTCTATCTGAGTTTCAATTAAATGGATACTAGGTAATTTCAAAAGGTTTTGCTGTCAAGGATAGTCGGGGTTTGCTGGTTTATTTCTGTAATGATCTTCCCATCACTGAATTAATTTTATCATCATCATTTCACAAATATATCTGTGTTCAGCTGTCTTCAAAACTAATAAAATTAAATGTTCTGTCTCTGTATCGTAGTCCTGGAAGCTCTGACTTAAACAATATTTTATTATTACAGTTGCTTGATGAATTTTTAAAGTTGCCTGGTTTTCATTTTATACTTGGTGATTTTAATTTACCGGATATCAATTGGGGTTTTCAAGGTTCAACAGGCTCACCTGCAGGAATAGATAATATGTTTTTAAATTTCATCAATGATAATTTTTTGAGACAGCATATTGATCAACCCACCAGAGCTCGTGGTACACAGCAGCCCCACATTTTGGACTTGGTAATCACTGATGTAGTTATCATCAAAAACATATCCTGTTTGGCATCAGTGGGAGCGGGTGACCACTCTGTTCTTTCTATGAAGGTATGTGGCTTCAATGCGGTAAAACATTTGGATATTAAAAAATTCTGTTACAATAGTGGAGATTATTATAATTTAAATGTCGACTTTAATAATGCTCTGCCCGCATTACTTGATTTGCATCCTGGATCGTCGGTTGAAGCGCTTTGGACCTCGTTTAGGAATTCAATTCTTGGTTTAACTGCAAAGTACGTCCCATTAAGAAAAATCTGTAAAAAGCGTACGTTTAAAATGACTCCGGAACTACGTTTGTTAATAAATCTAAAACATGTCTCATGGAAACAAATTTACAGATTTGGCTGCAATTGTTGGGATTTGTTCAGGTCGTTGAGAAACAGGATAAGAAAGATAACAAAAGATTTACATAAACAACGCTTGAACGAAATTGCAAAGGGTTTCAAATCAAACCCCAAATTGTTTTGGAAACAAGTGAGAAATGTTACGATTATCAAGGATGGGATTTGTTCTTTGCTGCATGATGGCATGCTGGTTTCGGATGACAAAGAAAGAGCTGAAATTTTAGCAGATTGTTTTTGTAAAAGATTTGCAATTTACAGATGATGGTACTTTTAATGGCCCTTTGCTTCCTGAAGGTGGTATGCAGGAGTTGATTATTAATGAGATGATGGTAAATGATAAACTTAAAAAAATCAATCGAAACAAGTCACTGGTCCTGACGGGGTTCATCCCAAGATTTTGTTTGAATCAAGAGATATGTTATCCAAGTTACTTGTTCAGCTGTTTAATTGGTCATTAAATACGGGTGATATTCCAAGGAATTGGAAGACAGCTCTGGTGGTACCATTACATAAAAAAGGTAATAAAAATTTGGCAACCAATTACAGACCAATTGCACTAACGCCAATATGCGATGTCAACACCTGGAATCATCAACTCAGAAAGTGTACTCAACTGGCCAGAAAAGATTGCAGGAAATATTTTTTCTCGAATCGAGTTGTTAGCCCATGGAATGCATTGCCAGAGTATATTGTTAATGCTCCGTCATTGGCTATTTTTAAAACTAAACTAGACTTATTTTATGGTGACGCAAAATATTCTATATTTTAATTTTAGTTTGTCTTGTGCCTGATGTTTATTATAAATTATTTGCAAATGTACGTACCACGTACCTGTAATAATCAATGTTCGGAATTTGCATTTTTTTCAAACAATGATAATTGTCTTAAACATTGACTCTTTAATTTTTATTGGAATTCGTTCTGATTTATTTTTGTTATGTTATTTCAGTTTTGGGCGAGGGGCTTTGTCCAAGCCTTTCTTCTTCTTATAATAATAATAATAATAATAACAATAAATTACTTTGTTTAAAGAAATTATATAAACCAAACCTACACTGAAGATGTGAAAAGCAAAATAAAGCCTATCTGCATGATGAATTGGACAATTTTTAGAAAATTCTAGTAAGGAAATTTAAAAAGACAAACTACAATTTATACAATAGCCTATAAAATATGATAAGAAAGCTGTTGCTTTAACTTGGGCTGCTGATGACTCCCATAAGGAACGAAACGAGTTTCGTTTAAAACAAGTCGGGTGTTCACAATAATGCGACATTGGTCGTGGTGAGTGATGGTGTACGTTATGTACTCGTACTGGTCGACGTATCTAAAAAATCAGTGAACCTACGGTAGATTGAATAATCTGACAATAGTCCAAGTTAAAACACTTGTTTCAGAAGTGGATTTTGGATAAATTAAAACTTTATGTAATAAAGAATGCCGGCACAAAAAGAACTCGATAAATTTGAGGAAAGAGCTGCTGAAACAAAACCTCGACTCTAAAGGAGTGAAGACAGTTTTGATAAACCCTAAATGACGCTGTGATAATTGAAAGTAACAATCCAGATAATTTTGATTTTCCGGATTTCATGGAAAAAATTGATTAACGGGCAACCAAAATGAAACTACAAGCAATCGATTTGAAAAAACATTGAGACAAAAATAGAAAAACAGTTGGACTAAACAAGAGATTTAAAAAAGCGGATGTATAGAAAATCACCGGAAATAGAACGACAATCGATAATAAATGATCAAATGATTGACGATTTAAAACCGAAAGTAGGTTATAAAATTAAAAAAATGAAACAACAAGTGCAAGACATGAAAATAGCCACCGTAAACCACTTTGCTGCAAGAATGTTAAATGCACATGTAGTTGACGAAGAAACATCATCGAACATTTACAAAACTCAATTTGAGGCAGCAACAATCAGCAATAAGTGGAACGAGAAAGACTGGGCATTAGCGCTGGTACTAATCCTGCGAGGTCCCGTAGCGAAAGTACTGCAAACAATTTTTGCGAAGAAACAATTCAACTTCACAACGTTAAAATTGCGGTATGGGAAAGAGCACATGAAGCTGGTATATAAGACTCAGCTCAGAAACAGAACGGCCGGGAGAAGGAATTCAACAGCTAGCCAAGATATAAAACAACTGATGATTAACGTATCCATCGTCAGACCAGGAGCATAAAAACAAAACTGCGCTGAAAACGTATATTAATTTCCTCCGGGATCCAGAGCTTTGCCTAAATTTTTTGCTAGTTTATAAGCACACCCTCTAAGATGCCATCGCGTATGGCCTTACGTTTAAAGCTGCAAAACAAGCGTCAAAATTGATATAAAAGTACGCCTTTACACAAGGAGTGTTTGTGTCAAAAAGTATCCTTAGACACAGGAGCCACAAGATCTATCCTAAGAAGCGACCTATTTCCACATTCACAACTTAAAAAGTCCACGGACAGCCACTGGAGGAACAATATCTATTTATGGGGAAGTTAACCGGATAATTTTTGTGGAAGACTTGGCATTCGAAGCGTCATTCCTCATAGCGGATATAATGAATGAATGCATAATGGGTGTCGATTTTTTAAGATAGATCAGGATGAAAAAAAGACCAGCGGTTACGTGTGTTTCCCGTAGAACTATAAATGACTTGGCGAAACAATCAGCTCTACACGTAGAAGATCCCAAAGAAGCGGAAGCATTGTTGGCGGCGTTCCCAAACGTATTTTTAATAGGAGACGACGATTAAGAAAAAACGAACTTTGTGACCCACTGAATCGACACCTTTATCGCTGGTACAATTCGACAAGGACCCAACGACTACCTAAACAAATGGAATGATCTAAAATCTTAAATATGAAATTTATAAATCCAATTCTACAAATAATATCCAGTTGGCGGATCCGTTGATAGTTGTTTTGTCGTATTATAAGAATCTTACATATGCTGTTTAAACATTAAAAGCCATTAAAAAATGATTTTACTGCTTTTTTAACTAAAAATAATCATACGATTCATTTCTTTATCCAATTTGTTAGTCTTCCTTAGAAAATTTGTCAGTCAGCTGTAGTGTGTGTACTACTGTGTAACTGTACGTTTTTAATAGCTAAAGCACTACAACAACATGAAAAAATTTTTTTAAAATGTTATATCTTAAATTATCATTTTGATTAAAATTAAATCAACTTCCAGTAACATTTCGACGAATAAAAACAGTTGAAACCTAAACAACTCACAAGAAATTAGAGACCAATCAACTCGCGGATAACCAAGACAACGCTGATAAACACGCGGTAAATGTTTATCTATGGTAAATTATTTATATCTTTGGATAGGCAAGCAAACTAGAAGGCAGTGTATCAATGATTGATTCCGTGTAATGAAGCATATACATTATATGCTAATTAACCCTTAGCAGCACATAGGCTAATAACCCCTTAACAGAAAGATGTTAATCACCCTTAAACAAAGATGTGCTTATTCAGCTTAAGCCGCAATATGCTAATTACCCCCTACAACCTCCGGAGATGGTTTTTATAATGCAAGAATCATATATATTTTATCTTATGTATATATTAAACTATAAATTATTTATAAATTATTTATAATTATTTATAAATTATAAATTATTAAACGAACTACAAACATATTAACGCCGCAATATGCTAATTACCCCCTACAACCTCCGGAGATGGTTTTTATAATGCAAGAATCATATATATTTTATCTTATGTATATATTAAACTATAAATTATTTATAAATTATTTATAATTATTTATAAATTATAAATTATTAAACGAACTACAAACATATTAACGCCAAACATTCGGTAGAATTTATAGAATATTGTAAAAATTATGGTCTATTACCAACATATATATATATATATATATATATATATATATATATATATATATATATATATATATATATATATATATATTTATCTTTATCTTCTTTATTTTATATATATTTTTTTATATATTTCTTTTTTTAATTTATTTTTATATATTTTTAATAATATTAAAACTATAATAATACTAATTAATAAATTAATAAATAATGCACTGACGATGACGGTTTAACGTCAAAATAGATCTATCTGCAATAATTTTATCGTTTATGTTAATGGATCCCTTTTGCCGTTTTGCGATGTCTATGGTTTACTCGACATCATGTTGTCGGTTTTCAATAACTAAATTTTCCGTTATAAACTAAAGTTTTTGCGCATTTTCGTTTATAAAACAATGATTAATTTTTTCTGACAACGTTTTTAAAATTTGCGAAAGATTTCGTTGCTGTATTACAGTTCGTTTTACATTTTATTATGAATTCAACAAATTTTTAATAAAAATTTGATAAAATTTTTTTATCATAGTCGTCATAGTAACCGATTTTAATTTCAAATTTCAACGGTTTTTTAATTTAATTTAAATAACAATTTCACTTTATTTTCAGCTAATTTCAATTTTTTCAATTAAGTTTCTAGTTTTCTAATTTATAAATTTTTTTCATCCGTTTTTACTTTTATCCACTCGTTACTAATTATTGCTCACATCCTCAATCGAATGATCCACTACACTTCAACAATTGCTAAATTTTCTACCCAAAAAATTCGCTATCAAAAGACCGCTAAGAAAAACTTTTCCTCAATAAAATTTGGAACCCAGATCATCACCAACATCAACACCTCTCCGATTTTCCTCAATCGCTACAGCACTCTACAACAACTTCAACATCAACACCCCCGACCCATCTACTTAGCACTAATTCATCCTCAGCAATACCAGTAGTAATTTCACCAACCCGTAAAAGCAGTGGCGGATTAACCTTTTTGCAGCCTAGAGGCACTCGTGGTTTGCCGCCCCAATTTTAAATTTTATAATAAATTTAGAAATTAAATTCATATAAACGCAATATTTGTAAAACATTTTTATTAAGTACTTTCTTTAATAATATTCATGTAATGTTATATTATCAATTTTAAAAAATAAATTTTCTTTCATTGCAGTTTATAAAAGTTATTTCAAAACTTTACGACCTGTTATTTCCTGCGCGCAAATTCATCAATAACGAAATTAATGTCTAAATCTTGCAAAATTGTTTTTTTGATGCATTGAATTGCAAGATAATTTAACCTTTCTTCGGACATTGTAGAAAGCAAATAGTTTTAACGCGCTTTAAACAAGAAAAAGATGGCTCGGCCGAACAGTTTGTAGCAGGAGTACAAGTGTACATCCGAAGTGCAATGACTACATTTGGATATACACACTGCAAGTCATTTAATCTTATCCATTTACACAAATCAGTTGGAGTGTGTGGAACTGCATTTTGGTCTAAGGTAGCCAAATGAGACTTTAAATGCAACAGTTCAGTATTTAAGGTGTCGTCTAGATCGTTTGGAAATAAAGATCTTAATCCATCCGCTGCAATCTCTAACTCACCCATTGACAATGTTTTGAACTGTACAACTGCTTTGAAATTTTCATTAATTTCTACATAAGCGTTTCGTCTCTTATTTATTTCAGAATTTAAGTTATCCACAATTACCAAAAATATGTTTACACGAAAATGTTCTCGAGTGGTAAATTCGGTTTCATTGTCAACTGATTCGTCGTAATGCCGCTTCCGTTTTCTTAATGGCCGTTTTCTTAAGTCATCAACTAAAGACAGGACTTTTTCTTTTTTTTTCATAATCCTCAAATCTTTCTCTTAGTGATTCGAACAACGTTAAAAGTGAGTCGTAAATTTCGATTACAGTCGATAGATCAATGTCTACTTTTTGAAGTTTGACGTTAGACTTGTTCAGACATTCTAAAACAAAACCCCATAATTCTACCATAATTCCGGTTTCAAGAAAACTCAAATTAGAAATTATTCCTCTAGCCTCAGCACGAGTTTCTGGTTTGAATCCTTTTCTTAAAATTGTAGTGATTCAATAACCTGATTCCATCCATATTTCAATGCTCTAACTGCGTCGTCGCGAGCAGACCACCGGGTAGTGGAGAGACTTTTCAAATTAAGTGAACTAGATTTCTGCTGTGTGTGGTTTTGGAGAACTTCCCACCTGGCAGTAGAAGCACTGAAAAAGTTGTAAACATGTTGGATCAACCAAAAAAAATTGCAAGCTTCTGCACAGGATTCAGCTGCATTTGTGCCAACAAGGTTAAGTGAGTGAGCTGAGCATGGTATAAATGAAACTTGATGATTGATTTCCTTGATTCGCGCCTGAAGTCCTGAATACTTGCCAGCCATGCTTGAAGCGTTGTCGTAAGATTGTCCGCGACAGTTTCGAAGATCCAGGTTGTGTGTATATTGAGTGTGTATGTGAATGTGATGCCTAATATTTTTAATTGACTTGTGCGAGTGATTGATGGGTGTTCTGGAGGTTATGTTATTTTCTAACATTTTTTTTTGCCATAATAAAAATTCAAATACTAAGACATCTGCATCAGGCAGTATTGAGCTATAAAAGTTTCCACATTTTTTTGACATATTTCATGATTGGAATTTCATCCGTAGCACACTGTTATTTTGAATTTAAACATTTATTAGGCAAAAACACTTGTAAAGAAGATATCAGATCAGCATGGGTGATAAATCTTTCTTCTAGTTGTGTGCAGATATGATCTAAAAAAGATCAGATAAGAACTGATAAGAACATCACTCGTTTATAATATTTTTCAGTGGTTTTTGCTGGAGTATTGTCAAGAGTAGTTTGTATTGATGTTACTCTTGGTAAAGTAATGACTTCGCCATTTACAGAGTGAAGCATTTCTTGGGAAACCAAGAACAAACTCTTGAAATTTTCTTCTGCATTCAAACGCATTTCATGAAATTTGTCAAGTACTAACTTTACAGCGGTACAGCATTCAGCTAAATCACAATCCACTTTTTGCAACGTTTTAGAAAGAGATATAGTATAGGAAAATATCTCATTTGCAACATTCATTGCTAGCACAAACGAACCTTTCGTAACGGTACATAATAACTGATGTGCTGTTGTTGATGTTTCACGAGTAGACGATAATTCCAACTCTTCCAAAGCGTGAACTTTGGCTACATATAGTTGTTTGAAGTCATCACAGACTCATGTCTTTCTACCCATCGTGTTTCACACAGTTATTAATTTCTTTTGTTTGATTAAAAACTTCGAAAATTTTGTTCTCCAAAATCTGTGTACGCTTTGGTGATGAGTTTAAAAATACAACCACTTCTTTTATTGTTCCCAAATTATTTCTTATTGTAGGGACATTACAAGATTTTGAAAGAGCTAGATTAAGAGAATTTTTGTCTCCCTTCAACCACAGAAAGAAAGTTTTCAGCCATTATCACTGACGTTTTGTGGTATTCAATGTTTGCATGTGCTTCAAACTGTTCAATGGCATCTTTCCACCTATTAAAAGATACTGTTACCAAAAACCCAACTTTTTGGTTAGCACCTTTTCCCACATGTTCCCTACCAAATATAACACAAAATTTACAAAACGCTCCCTCTTTTTTGTCAGAATATGAAAGCCAAGAAAATCGTTCAAGCCAACGCATTTGAAATTTAAGACGCCGTTTAGGCTCAACAGGGAATTGGTAGGTTTTAGGAGGCGTCCCAATGACTTTAACACAATTTCTTTTTCTTGATCCGTCATTGAATTTCCTACATAATTACCTATATCATGGAGATTGGTTGCAGTTTGAACTGAACCTGAAGGCTGGGGATCATCCAAGACTGCTTCATCTACATTTGCACCTGTTTTCAGTTTTAATTACGTTTTAATATCTAAAATGTTCATTTATGAAAAAATATATTAAATTAATTGTTAAAAAATGTTTAATATAGCGTAAAAGTTGTTCATTTTAAAACTAAATACTTGTATTTGTATTAAATTTATTAGCGAAACTAATTAGACAATGAAAGAAAAAGATTTACTACTTCATAACTGAACTAACTAACCTAATTGTTTTCTTTTACGATTTTCTTCCTTTTCATTGCCACAAAAACTAATATTATCGTCAATATTTTTATTATTGTTCTTAAAAAATTTCATCAAATTACTTTGCTTTAACATTCTTTTTCTTTAAATTAATTAAAAATATTTTATAGCTTTAATTTGTTTGAGTACCTTACCTAGTATTACAATGGAAGGAAACCGCGCTTTTTTTTAAACAAAGTATAAAAAATTATATTTAATAACTTCTTTATAGAATATCTTTGGTATAAAACATCGCCTCGTCCTGTGAAAGTCGTGAGTTCGATTCATATTTCGGGCAACCTACATATGTTGACGGATTAAGTGCACAAACATTCGTAATGATCGTGTGATTTGTTTATTTGTGTCATTGGAAATGGATTTGAACTGTATAAAACGCATGTGATTGATTTTATATAAAAAATGGAAATCATAAGCACATACAAAAACTTCATTAAATATAAATATTTTTAAATTACACACGTAATTTTTACTTCATTTTTATAATTTTCGTAATTTCGGGGGGGGGTTTGAACCCGTAAACCTCCCCCTAAATACAACCTTGCATGCTGTAACAGTTTCTGCGTCTGTCAGATCCTGATTTTTAAAGAATAATAATAAAAAAAAATTTGCAAATACACTCAACGATATGGAATTGTTGTAAATCGTATTTGTTGAGAACTAGTGACATAATTTGGCTGGCTAACAACGTTGTTTTGGTGTAAACACCATCTTCAGAGCCTTGTGTGAGATACAAATATTGCAATAAATGGAAATGTAAACCATATAAAATAAAATACAATAGTACCTAAAATGCTACGTGTTGTGATTTAAAACAGGCCAAATGAAACCTAGCAATATATGAATAAACAATTTGAAGAGTTACATTAAAAGCAAAATGTTAACTTGTAATGCAAATGAAACTGAATAATTAGTGAAATAAGTTTTAGTTTAATGTTGAAATAAATAATTGGATACATATTTATCTAAAACAACTAAAGTAATATAAAGTAATATGGCGGTAGGTAAAAATTTTGCAAGATCTTGGCTAGGATTATGGGAGACGATTCCACAAGAAATTAATGATTGTAACTCTCTGCATCTTTTTAAATATAAACTGAAAAATTTTTTAATTACAAAAAATTCTGTCTTTAAAAGATAACTTATATATATATATATATATATATATATATATATATATATATATCATTAAAAAACATGTCCTTATGAATAATGGAGAAGTATGTAAAATTGCTAATTTTGATCGTTTCATAAATCTCAGTAATCACGTTTTAACGGAAAAAGAAAAAGAATTTTTAAATCTAGGCATCAACTGTCATTTTTATAAAAAACCTATTAAAATAGATAAGATTATCGAAATAGAAAAATTAATGAACGATTTTATTGAATATGAAAAGAAAAATTTAATTACCGTCAATCCTTCGATTGGTATTCAGTTACAAGCTGAATCCAAGAAACAAAGAGGCAATTTTAATAGCAAATTAATTACAGAGGAAATAAGAAATGCCGCCAAACAGTTGAAACAAAACCAAAATATTGTTATACGTCGTGCTGATAAAGCGTCAATGTATGTCATTCTAAATAAAGATGATTATTTTGGAAAATTGAACACAATATTAAACGACACCACTATATTTAAAATGATAAAATCAGTATCAGTATAAGGATCAGTATCCTACACCATCACTAAAAGTCAAACTCAACTAAATCATCCACCAAATCAACAGACATTGTCCTAATGATAAAATTCCTCCTCTTTTTGACGAATTTCAACCTGGTTACATTTATGGTAATGTGAAAACTCATAAAACTGACAATCCATTAAGACCTATCATTAGCCAGATTCCTACCGTAACATATCCAATAGCCAAATTACTATGTAAACCCTTGACTCCTTATGTTCCCAACGATTACAACTTGAAATCTTCACGCGAATTCATCGAAATTTTAAATACTAATTCATCAGCCAAATATATTGCATCACTTGATGTGGAATCCTTATTTACAAACGTACCGATGAAAGACACAATTGACATCATTATCAATACGGTTTACAATTCAAATATGTCCCCCATCAAAATTTCCAAATCTCATCTCAAATCGCTTTTGGAAATTTGTACAACCGAGGCACCCTTCATTTTCATAAGTCCAACAGAAAAAATGTATAAACAAATTGATGATATAGCTATGGGTTTGCCACTAGGAGTACTTTTCGCTAATTTTTATTTAGGACATTTAGAAAACAAGACGTTTGAACAACATCCACATTTAAAACCACACATTTACACTCGATATGTTGATGATATTTTTGTCGCATATGATGAACAAGACATGATCAATGAACTCGTTACCACGTTTAATCATTCAAAAGTTAAATTCACAATTGAATTAGAGAAAGAAAAAGCATTACCGTTTCTGGATGTGCTCGTTAAACATGATGAACGTAATTTCAACATCTCAGTTTATGTGAAAGAAACCAACAAAGGAATTTGTCTTAATGGACAAAGTGAATGTACGAAAAAATATAAACTGAACACTATCAAAGCCTTCGTCAACCGAGCAATAACACACTCAACTACTCAAAATGACATCAATACAAAATTGAATCGCATTAAAAAATTGCTTTTTAATAATGGTTATCAAATATCAGATATTAACAATGTAATTAAATTTAAATTAAGAAATATCAGTAACAACAATAATAATAACTACAACAGAGTTACCAGTAGCAATATTATCACCAACAACAATAATTTTTCTATTGATAATGATAACTCCATTGCCATAACATCATTAATAACAACAACAATAACAGTAATCTCAATATTGATAACGATAACAACAACAATAATCACTATAAGAATATTATTTATAATGCTAAGAATTATAACGAAAGCATTGTCAACAACAACAACGATGAAATTAATTATAACAACAATAATCCAGATACTAATCACAACATCATAGTCAACAACTTTAGTAACCAAAACAACACCTACTACAATAACGCCAATAATAATAACAATAACAATACTACCAACAGCATCCACAATAATAATAATGATAAAGATATTATTCTATATTACCGCAACATCATGTCCACTTCATATAAAACAGATGAAAACATTTTAAGAAAACTAATTTACAACAATATCAAACCCGTCAATCCCAATTGCAAAGTTAAAATAACTGTCAACCCAACAACAATTCCATCATGAAAAATAGTCATCTTATATAAGAATTTTCCTGTCCCATTGGTAACTGTGTGCACTAAACTTCTTCATATATAGGAATGACCACCACTCAACTTTCTCGTCGACTTACTATGCACAAAAGAGAGGGTGCGATCAAATCTCATACAGAGACAACACATAATACAACATTAACACGTTCAATTCTCGACAATAACACAAATGTTCTTTACAAAAACTCCGATTCTTTCACCTTAAAGATAGCCGAAGCCATATTAATAGAAATAAAAAATCCAAAATTAAATGTTCAGCTACATAGTGTAACAGTACTTCCGACTCACAAACAGTTATCTAAACTAATTAATAATTCTCTCACCACCAATAACAACAATAACAACCACGTTACCACCACCACCACCAACAACCATATTACTACCAACAACTTAACCATGTTAGAGATGCCAACGACCATGACAACAACATGTTAATAATTGCAGCAACAACACCAATACTAATGTTAACAACAACAACATCATCATTGTCAATAATAACAACAACAACAATAACAACAGCAACAACAACAATAACAACAGCAGCAGCAGCAACAACAACAACAACAATAGTAATAATAATAATAATGATAATAATATAAACTTGGAAACATGAATATTGTGGTATGATTTTTACTTTTTATTTTGTTGATTTACTTTATGGTCGTTTTTTCAGCAATTTTTAAAATTAAAAAAAATTTTAATTTATTTTGTTTAATTCTAATATATATCTATGTAAATAATTTAAAGTTAATTTTATCAATATGTTAAATATATAGTATATAATAATCAATAATAATATTTTCAAAAATGTTTCGCGTTTAAAATTAAGTTATACTGTATGACGTCATTTGTTTATAAACGGTAATTTTCGTTATTATTTAAAAATATTTTACACTGACGATGATATATTTTATATCGAAAAAGCTTTTTGCAATTATTTATATTAATAAACATGAACAATAATAATTTTAGTTTTTTACTTAATAAATTAAATAATTATAATAAAATTTTAATTAGAAAACTTGAAAAATTAATGTATAAACATAATAATTGTATTAACGCGGTTGATTTTCTTGAAAACTGTATATATATATATATATATATATATATATATATATATATGTGTGTGTGTGTGTGTATGTGCGCGCGCGTGTGTGTATTTCATTAACATTGATAAATTTTTCTCCTATTGACAATTTTGTTTCATCCTTATTCTAATTTATTCTCGTTGAGTTATCATTGACAAGCTATTTTAAGTTGCACGGTGGCCGAGCCCAAAAGAATTAATTTTCTTTTTTTAGTCTCCTAATCATTCATACTTTTTTGTTTGTTTGATTAAATAAAAGTGATTTGATTTGTATTAGTTGTATCGTGCTTCAAACCTTTTTATCTTGTGATCACTGGAGCCAAATTTTTCTCCGACTTGTATATCTTCAATCATGTCTTCCTCTGTAGAGATGACTAAGTCAAGGACGTTATTTTTCCTTGTTGGCTCTAGGACAAGTTGTGTGAAAAAGTTTTCATTTATGCATTCCATAAATAAAGCATCTGAAAGTGTTTTACTTTTTTTTTTCCCAATTTATATGATAGTTGAAATCTCCTAACATAATGCATGATCCTTTCGTAGCTCTTCTGATTAATTCGTGGAGTCCCTTATCATTTTCTTTACCAGAATCAGGAGTTCGATAGCAAATTTCAACAACCAGGATCTCGTTTTTGTTTCTTATTTCATACCATACGTTTTCTTGGAATCTGTCGTTTTTCAAGTCAATTCTTTCCACAGCTGTTAATTCGTGTTTTATTTATAGTAGTACTCCACCACCCTGTCCTCTTCCTCCATAATTATCTCTGTCCTTCCGGAACATAGTGTAGCTATCTAATTCGAGTTCGCTGTCCTCCATGGAATCATCAACATCAGAAAATAAGGTAGCATCAAAAATAGTTTCAGTAAGAGATTGAAGAAAAATATCTAAAAAATAAGAGAAGACCAGCATCTTTTAGAAATAGACATAGATAAATTAGAAAGAAGAAAATCTAAAGAAAATACAGATTCAATAAGGAGGTGATCAGATTAAGGAACAGAGCTAGCAGAGATATTAATAGGCCTAGAAAAAGATGAAGCTATAATAAAATCAATAGTGTTACCAAAAGTATGGGTAGGAAAATAACAAAGTTAAAAAGAGACCAGTTTATAGTCCCTATGTATTATCTTAGCTGATGGACACGTTGTTAATTGTTTACTTTGTGACGAATAAATAAATATCTATCGTTAAAATGTGTTGTATATTATGTACGAAAAAAATTCTAACAAATTTAAAGCCGAGGGCCATGCACGTCGAGTTAAACAAAGCTATGACGGATTTTTGCAGTTATAAGGCTAGATTAGTTAACATTAATGTAAGTAGCTACATTAAGCTGGTAGTTTCTTGTAAGATATAAGTAGCATTCGATCTCCTGAGTTCGAAAGTGTACAATTCGACAATGAAAACCCGGACATTTCATAACTAGTAACTTGAGTTGACCGAATTATTACCTTTAAAAGTAGGTACTCAACGCGCACTATAGTTCAAGTTCGTTTTAATGTGGCGTTGCCGGACGTTGCTATACAGTAGATCAAGCTGGTAGTTTCTTGCTCGTGAATGTATAATTGAATAATGGAGACCGCGATAATTCATAACTGAACGGGCACCATAGTTAAAATTCGTTTGCAGTGTGGCGTTGCTATATAAAAAATTAGGCTGGTAGAGTTTTATCAGATTTATGTAGTACTTAGTATCCTGAGTTCGAAAATGCAAATTTGTCAATGAACACCTCGACATTTCATAGCTGTACCAATTTGAATCGACCGAATTATTATGTACCTCTGAACACGCATTGCGATTCAAATCCGTTTTGATTGTGACGTCGATATAGCAGATTATGCTGGTAGTTTCATATAAGGTTAAAATAGTACTCGATCTCCTGAGCATTAGTCTCATCGTTTCGGTAGTATCTTTTAAAGATTTTAGGTTGTGTCCATCAAGTCTTGAAGGCACCCACGCCCAGCAAAGTCAAAAATATGACTGTTCTTAGATTCACACGGAAAATTTATAAAATAATAAAAGCATATAAACAAACATTAAACATTCACACTCAAAATTATAAATAAATGCTCGGTCGGCGAGTTAGCTCAAACGATATAAGTACCATGTTTTACGATTGCCTGGTTCGAATACCGGTCCGAAACTCAAAGACTATCTTACGCCTTGTGCGCATAATACGATGTCTGCCCGTGCACTACACACTTACTGCTCCAATAATCATTAGAAGAAATCGTTTGCGGTAGAGATAAGATTCAAAGGATTAATACATGTGTGTGTGTGTCTATTTATAAATGCGTTCAACAAAAAAGTTAATTGGTATCCAAACATCGATGATCAATTACAAGATAGGTTCTAAATGTTTATAGACAAAAAAAGTACTGAAAAATTAAATTAAAAGTATCTATCCCGTGTGAATAATGACACAATAGAAAATAAAATAAATTTAAATATAAAGTTGATAACTATGAAATAAAAAACAAAATAGTTGAACGTCATTAAGCAAGATGATTAGACATTAAGGAAAAATTTTTGAATGCGTAACGACAAATCAACCGACGATGAGATACCACATTGTTAACCAATCAGATTACAGTGTATTCCTATTTATCAATATAGCGAATCTGTTGATTTTCATATATGTTGTAAAAGCTAAATTAAATTGCGGCCAAAAATATCATAGAGAAACAAACACATAGACAAAAAAAGTCTATCCTGGCCAATCAACTAATCAATCGGTCGGTCGGTCAGTGAGTGAGTGAGTGAGTGAGTGAGTCCAGTCAGTCAGTCAGTCAGTCAGTCAGTCAGTCAGTCAGTCAGTCAGTCAGTCAGTCAGTCAGTCAGTCAGTCAGTCAGTCAGTCAGTCAGTCAGTCAGTCAGTCAGTCAGTCAGTCAGTCAGTCAGTCAGTCAGTCAGTCAGTCAGTCAGTCAGTCAGTCAGTCAGTCAGTCAGTCAGTCAGTCAGTCAGTCAGTCAGTCAGTCA